AGGCTCTCACATCACCAAGCGCGAAGCGCCGTGAGGTATTTGGCGAGTCGCATGAAGGGTGAGCTGCATCCTGCTAAGGGTGTTCGGCATCTTGTGCTTACTTCCTTGCGTACGGATGACAGCTACGTATGACTTAATTTATTTTCTGGTGCTTTCACTTCCAGAGACAGTTGTAAGCACTGTGTAACTGCCTCGAGGAAGCTTGACCATTTTAACACAACGTGGTGCGATCATCCCCCGTTGCGCGGAGCGAGGTTTCTCGACCCCGCACAACATGATCTACTCGACCACCATTATGGTTACCGCCAAAAAAAAAAACAGAGGTAAAAAAAAAAGACGGTAACCTGGTTGCCGAGTTCACGAAGTGAATTGGCTTGTTTTACAACGTCGTTGCCAATCGACGAAAACCCAATCCCGATGGCAAACACCGACGGGGGGGGGGAGGGGGTTATGGGTAAGTCAGAAGGCACGGGACACTTGCACAAGGTCTACGTTTCTCGGAGTTGCCATACTCCCGCCAACGGTTGGAGAAGACGAGGGAACACATATGACCGAGAAGACCTTGGATCAGCGCAGTGAAGGAGAGATCGTCCCAACTCTCTGCTCCAGGCGAAAACAGCGCTCGATGCGACAACAGCACGGCGAGATGTGTTGTTGTGATTCTCAACGTAGGTGGGTACGAGGCCTGCGTGTTCCGTCGAGGGCATGACACGATGCAACATTTTGGCTACATAGCATCCGCGTTGACAAAGGGCGACCACAGCTGAGCGACCACAGCTGAGCGTACGGTGGCGCTGGTACCACAGCCAGCGCAAGAGGTGTGGCAGTGGTATGTTCGGATCCTAAATCTCCTCACTTGTGTGCCCGTAGTATGCCGCCAGCATGAGAGGTGTCCTGGTCGGTACGCGTGTCGCGGGTGTGTGTGGCAAGAGACGGGGGCGGGAACAGCCGTCGGGACGGCGGGTTGGCATTGTGTACCGCTGCAAGCTGCCCGCCCAACGAAATCACATGCCGGCATCACCGGTACCGTTGTCGTAATCGCAATCACCAAAACAAACGACAATCACCCCTAATGTCCTAGCGTTTCTGGGAACCATATGGAGGTGCTACATGAACTTACTGCGTGCGAGCATGTCAGACAAACACAGCCGGCAAAAAACAGCGTGGCACGCACGCTTCCTGCGTCTTGTCCGAGGCGTACTTAGTGTCGAAACCGAAAACTGAGATACCCCCCTGCTCTAACACACCGCCTCCACTGCCAAACACCTAACCGGATGTATCACGACACGTTGATCGAGAGGCTTCGCACACGTAGAAGTACCGATTGTGGTGGTGCGACAGACACCTCTACTTACTCTCCCGTAGTCTTGGAGGCAAGGTTGGCGTTCGCCCCTCCTTCCTTGATGAGCATCCTCACGGCAGGCGTCAGCTCGCTTTCCACCGCCAGCATCAGCGGCGTGTCCCCTGGAAAACCGAGTCAAGCAGAGCAAACAAGAGAGTATGGACAGGAGCGAACCCATATCGGAGAGACGGCAGTACCACCGTGCGCACCATGTTTTTGCCACCAATGCCAGCGGTTACGCCGTTGTGTCCATTGCTGTATCCAGGAGAATAAAGCAACCCTGCCGGGCCGCTCTGGTCTTTTTTCGCTGTGTATTCGGAGTACATCGTACCACCGTTGCACAGGATGATTGCCTATCTCTCGCCATCAAATCGCCGCGTGCTGGTGTAAACACTAGGTTAGGAAGTATTTTCGGTCGTATGCCGCATGCCAAGGGATGATGGCGAGACCGATGCGGTAGGGGCAAATACGCTGATGTAGGTGCGATCTGTGTTGGACGACTATCTCTCCCTCTATCTCTCTCTCGCCTCTGCACACTCACCTATGGAGTCCTGAACAGAGCAGTCGCCCCCAGCCTCCACATACTTAGTGATGAAGTCCATATCCCCAGCCATCAGGGCGTCAAAAATGTCTCCCGATCCTCCTGCACTAGGCCCCGCGGAACTCCCTTCCCCTTCCCCTCCGCCGAACGCTGCAAGCGCCGAACATGTCCGGCCAGGTACACAGGACACGTCCACGCGGCAGCTGCTGCTGCTTTTGCCACGGCGTCCAACGGGTGCTGTTGCCGGTCGTGCTGCTGGCGATCGTACCGCCGATGTTGGTGCGACGGAAAGAGAGAAGCCTAGGCACGAGGGGGTGTAGCGCTCGCTCCCGAGCAGCAGTAACAGCAGGAGAGCTAGCGACGGAGCTCCTGTCGTGCATGCTCGAGCAGTAACGCTGGAGGCCGTCATCATATTTTTTTGCAAGGACACCCACTGCTTATTATTTTCCTGCTCCGAGGGAGAAGGAGCTGGCGTGAGAGGAAATCGGCGGGCCTCCGCCACGTTGTGCGCTGGTCTGAAGCTGATCCTTTGCTCTCCTGTCGCTGCTGCTGCCCCAGCTGCGGTCCCTGTTTGTGTGCGCGCGCATGCGGGAGGACGATTGTGACAGTCCCGCCAGAAAACACTGGATAAAATAGTCAGAGGCGTACGGCCGCTTTTTCGTAGATTCTTTCCGGAGATTTGCCGTGCGACACAAGCTTTCAAACCCGGCAACGCCTACACACAACCGAAGGAATCTGGCTGGGCTGCGACGCTTGCTCGGGTAGCCAACGATGAAGCCTCCGGTCGAGATGGACCTCGATGATTTGGGGGTGAGATTGTTGTTGCTGCTTCTCTTACCACTTATCTTGGCAGGCTGATGTGGATGGTGTGGAGCGTCCACCACCCACTTGTGCAGAGGTCGAAACCGGCAGACACGGCAGCCACTGCTGGTTGCATCTGTTCCTGGATGCCTCTGGCTGTTGCTCTGGGCAACATGGCTTGAGCGTTCTTCGTCTTGCTAGGAACCACTATAGGACAACCCAGGCGAGATAGGAGGCAAGCTTGTGGCGAAGGGTTCGTGGTAATACGCACGCACACCGATTACTGCTGTAACTTAGTCTAGCATGTTTAGCTCGCTCCCAGGCCGCCGTTTCCGGACGAAGCTTCCGGGTCCACCGCAACGCCCACAAAAGCTGTGTAGCAAGTCCCAAGCGCCCAGCGTCGTGCACCGTTTGGCCTCTATTCATTCGTCACGTATTCAACTCTTGCTCCTGCCCAAGGACCTACCAAAGGGACACCTTGCTTGGATGTTTGTTTCAATTCAGAATCGTCAGAATTGACAATACTGCTGTAAGTTGCACTCGACCCAAGGCAGCCAGTTCTCCCAAACAAGCCTCGCAACTGAACGCTTCATGTACACACATGAGTCTGAAAGGCTCTCGGAGCGACGCCTGCTCTTCGATGGTGGCGGCTTCTAGAGCAGGTGACCTGCTGATTTTTTAGCAGGAACCTTGCTGTAGTTTCGCCTTACATGTGCTCACAGTTCTCAACCCCACCGACTTTTTCCCGTCAACCTCCTCGCTTCTAATGCACCACGCGCCTACCCCCTCAACCAATACGAAATATGACGGAAGGTCGTGCTGAATAGCGACAGCGAGAGCGTGCTGCTCAAGGGACTGCGGCGCTTCGCGAGGCAGATACGGCGGGAGCACGGCCTGATCCCCGAGAAGGACGAAGGGGGGGGGGGCGTGGATGGGACGCCGACCCCCCCCAACGACGAAGAACAGGGCGAAGGGGCCACGGCGATGGAGGTGGACAGTAGCGATGGTAGCAGGAGCGGGAGCGACGTCGAAGATGCCAAGGGGGGGGGGCACCGTGGGGGAGAAGGAGGGGGCACCAGCGGTTGCGACCGGCACAGAGAAGCCTTGCTCGAGGCCGCCGGGAAGGGCGAGGCACCCGGGCTGCTGGGGGAGTACCTGCGCGGGTCGCCTCAGCTGAACGATCTCTTGCACCTGTGGGATCTGGATCAACGCAAGGTCGGGAGCAATCCTCAGCGGTGTCTGCCGTACGACGCGGCGCAACTTGCTTTCTGCTGTGTAGGCACTTGAGTCTCACTAGCAATACCCAGTGCAAACATGATTGATCAGCGTGTTACAGCAGACACGTGCCGCAGGAAACCCTCGCACGTACAGCCCCAAGGTTCGGCATGTCACGCCAAGAGCGTTTTAGGCACCTTAAGGGTAGATTGGGTTTGTACTGTTTCTGTACGAAGAAAAAAGTGGCGCAGTAGATACGTATTTCGACTGTATCCTTGCCCCCAAAAGCTACAATCAGTAGGCACGACGCCCCATTCCCATCGCCCACCCACCCTCCCACCGCGCGCGAACTCCCGGCCACGCTGCCAGTCCTCTCCCGTTCTAGCCGCCGCCCACACGGACTCCTTCGCAGCCGTCCTTGAATGCCTCGCGGCCGTGCTGCGACACCTGGCCGCGGGCTCGGCGGTAACGGGCGCCGTGTCGGCTGTGGCCCGAGGGGAGGCTATCGAGGCTACCGGCTTGGGTCTGTGCAGGTACGCAACAGCACGGCTCGATTCTTTCTGTTCGCTCGGGGAGGAAGGTGGATAGATAACGTAGATGACGTTAGATACCACACACCCCGGACGCCTATTTGCTACACGACCAAGAGGATGTACGCAAGGCCCTCGCACACAAGTGCAGAGAGGTGCACAGCATCATCAATGGTGGTGCGTAGGGGGAGCGAGCGTGTTGGTGTACCGCTCTCCTGTCTCGCAGCTGCTGGTGACAAAAACTGAAAAGTTTGGCCGGGTTGTTCAAACGATACGCTTTCGGAACGCTCTGGGCGAGACGGTTCCAACGCGGGAGTACGCGAGCCGTGACAATGGGTGTGGTAATTTTTCGTCATGTCACCTACAGTCGAGCGTAAACTGTAAATTGTGCTTTTAGTGACATTAGTAGTAGCGGGGGTGGGTCGTTGTACCGGTGATGGCGGTGAGGTATGCTGACACGACCACGCCACCAGTGATGACGTAACGAGTGAGGACTCTTGATGCGATCGGCCGTTGTGTTTAGGGGTGGTGTCCGCAAGTGACGAGCCCTTAAGTCGGCGTGTAGCGCTTGCTTTGTACATACCGATTCCCGTACACACGCGCTCTTGTCGCAGGAGGCTCACTCGAGACAAGATGGATGACATCCACGCTCAGCTCCATCCCAGTGCCGGATCGGCATCCTCCAGCGGCGGCGGCGGTGGTAGCAGTAAGAAGGCCAAGAAGAAGAAGACCAAGGCTGGCGCGGTCCAAGCAGGCGCGCTTACCGGCGAAGAGGTAGCAGCAGCAACACTCCGGCTGCTTACGAGCGTGGCACGCTTTCACAGGCGCGTCATTTTTTTTTTTGTTTAATTGCCGCCGTTTCTTCGTATTCCTGCATGGTTTTGGGCGTTCTTTTCGGGCAGAAAGAACCCACCCTGAGCTCTTGAATATGGCTCGGCACTGGAAATCATGTGGAACGAGCATCGTCAATTTGCGCGATCGGCAGTTTGATTTCGGGAGGCGCTTTGTAAGAACTCGCTGGTTCACGAAGATGTCAAGTTTGTTCGTCGAGAGAATGCTGCGATTGGGTAGACCGGGGGGCTCATTCCTTGTGATGAAGGGGGGGGAGTCTTGTTTTTCGGTACCCTGAATCGAGGTTGCTCCCGGTGCCTGTACGTATCACGCTGCCGTGCGACACATTAGTAGCATCCCCGCGAAGAACGGTGGTCGAGATGATGTACGGGAGGGGGAAGTTGTCCCGACCTTCTTGCCAACTAGCCCTCCGTGTCTTGTTTCACCACCGCCCCACCAATCCTGCTCTGCGCACGTAAAAACACAACAGGCTTGCCGCGAAAGAACTGGCGGGGGTTTTCAACTTTTCCCACAAGGCGTTCGTCAAGCTCGTGTCGCGCAAGGGAGGGAGCGCCGCCGCATCTTCGCATTCCACGGAGCCCCCTGTCGCGGGCGCCGCCGGAGACGTTGCTGTGGAGAACGCTGCTGCCGGCGCAGCGGGAGGTGGAAAAAAGGCCAAGAAAAAGAGAAAGGCTGCCGAGATGATGGCCGCCGCCGCCGCCGCTGCCGCCGCTGCCGACAGTGCTGGTCCAGGAGACAGTGGGGTTACCCGCGGGGGGAAGGGCGTGGAGGACACCCGGCACTTGAGCGTGGACTTGCTCTGCGCGTTCATGGATTCAGGTGAGAGTCAGGGATCGCGGTCGGGGGGGAGGGCGAGTGAGAAGAGACAATCAGTGTTCGTCTGCAGTGTACGAGCATCTTGGTTGGTGGGTTGGTTGACGAGATTCGACAGAGGAACCCATTTTCGTGTGTGTGTGTATGTTGCTTTCGCTTCTTTTTTTTTATGAGGCCATACTCCAGACCTGCCGCCTGTAGGTAAGTAAGTGGGGATAATAGCCCCCCTGCGTGCTTCAGTTTCTTTTTTCTCTACTGTTTGATTTGTTGTACGGCGTTTCGTATGATTCGGCCACGGTGCTCTACAACTCAACTCTTGGAGAATAGCTGCTGTCTTCTTTTTTTCCTCGAAAGACTTGTCGCTATGCCCACAAATCCAGTAAAACACCTCTCCTAGACTTCGTTTCCCCACAAAGTCCGTGTCCAACCAACCCCGCGCACCAGACAGTCCTCCCAGCCGTCAGTCATTCATAGCAGCGTAGCTGGATAGCGGGGAATCTCCTGGCCCGTGTGGGCGAAACGTGTGCTGAAGTTCCGACAAGGGAAGCTACTCTGTCTTGCGTAGAGAGATACACTCCCAGCTTTTTGCTCGAAACGAACGAGGAAAATAGCCTACGGACTGTCAATGCCCCGCACACATGCACGACGCCCCCCCGACACATGCACGATCCCCCCCCCCCCTTGATACATGTACGACGCCCCTTCTCTCGTGCATATTCCTCCTCCTCCCAGAGGACCCAGCGCTGCAGATGCAGATGGTGACCGGCGCTAGGGGCGGCGGAGCGCTCGGGTTGATATTCAGGGGGTGTTTGTGGCGCGACCCCGAGGAAACATGCACCGTCGTGGTGGAAACCCTTCATCGGAGGCTCTTGCGCAACAGGCGCGTTTCTCGACGCGCCAAGGCCGACTTCTTTTCGTCGGGAACCATCGAACACCTTCGCAAGGTGGGCAGGTTTTTGTTGCCGGCTCAAGAGCTGTATTTTTGCGCTGATCAGAGTTTCGATTTTGTCACTCTGCAGGTGTTGCGTTTGGTTCGCAAGTGGTTGAAGCTCTTCAAGTTTTTCTCTTTTTGTTTTTTTTTGTTCGTGCCGTGTTTTGAGTTATACCTTGTGAAGACGGCAATAGTTTTCTCTGTCTTCGAAGAGTGGGCAAGAGGAATCATTGGGTACCAGCAACTATGTTTCGACGGAAAGACAAGACAGCAACGACAGCTTGAGGACGACGCAAAGTCGCCGCTCTTGGGGTTGGTGTTTTTTTCTCGCTGTTTTTATGCCTGCTGTTGTTGCACCATTTTCCGTGTCGCAGACGGCAACCGCCACCACCGCTGCTGTCGCCAGCCGTGTTGCTGCTAACAGCTGTGTTCGCAACGATGCCTCTGACTCAACACGGATCTCTGGCTGCCTTATAGTTCAATTTCAAGAGTCCCCCCCCCCCCCCGCTCCCGCAGGATGACTCCGTCCTCTCGAGGACGCGTGGTCAATGGTCTAACGGCTACGGCATGCAAACCATGACTATACCCTCCCGCGGGAGATGATGACCAACCAGCTTCCGGTTCATCCTTGTGAACCTTAGCATGGTCCGGCGAAAACCCGGCATCTCGCTCCGTCCCGGCATTGTGTAATGATGCGAGGTTAATGGTCAACCGACTACGGCATGTATTTACATGAGTAATTGTGTAATGATGCGAGGTTAATGGTCAACCGACCACGTAATGTATTTACATGAGTACCTCCCCGCCCTGTCTCCCTCCGCGGTCTCGCTGCCTTGGACCACCCTAACGCCACACGTTGGACGTGGGTTATCTGTAACTCATCTCATCCTTATCTCCGCCACGCCTGCACCGCTGTGTTGTGATCGACCGAACTAACGTCGGCGGCCTGTCCGCAAACGTCCAGGTGTTCGACCACGCCTCTCCGGCTCTGTACGAGAGCCTCCACGGCCTCATGTCGGCGGTGCTGTGCGACACGACCACCAGCCCGTTCCTCGAAGCCGCCGCCGCGGCGGGAGGCACGGCGGTGGTCACCTTTCAGCGTCCGCTGCTGGCCGGGCTGGCCTGTCTCGGCGCTCACGAGGACTTGGGGCAGAGGACGCTGTTGCTGGTGGGTCGTTGCTTGCTGCTCGAGTCGTCGTCGGAGTGGCACATGGTCTATGTTTTTTGTGGACGCCGTGCACGTCTTTTCTACCCTCTGTGTGCGTGCGTGATCACGTCACCACGGGGTGATACCCAGGGGGTGGTGAATGCGGGGGTAAGTTTGGGGGGGTGGTATCCAACGAGAGGTTGGGTCGCTGTTCGTGCCTTTCGATCGACCGGGGGATGTACAGGAAGAACATCTATCGGGTACCACAAGTCTGTGTGTGTGTGTGTGTGTGTGTTTTTTTTTTACGGACTTCTCAGCTTCGTGGGGCTAGCTCTCCTGTGACGACACATCCTTACGGAGTACCCACGGTTTGGTGCTGTTATGAGTTCCTCACATTTGCTGCCATGCTCCAATCGCTACCTCCCCTCACTCTGTCCAAACTTGTTCACTCTTTTTTCCCGCCGCTTCTTCCGTCCTTTATGGTTTCCCCCCTTGTTTTTTTTTTTCTCCGTGTTTTTTTTTTTTCCTCGTCACGCACCCCTACGGGCAAACCGACGAAAAAACGCCTGGCGGCGACACGAGCAGCCTACCCTCGTCGCCTGCCCGTCGCTCCTCGGGCCCTACCTCCGCACCTTCAACACCGCCATGCTCGAGGCGCGTCCGACGTACCGCCTCCTCCAGACGTACTCCCTCCTCTCGACAGTGCTGAGAAAGGTACCGGTGGCTGGCTCCTCCTCGTCGAGAGAAGAAGACGGTGGCGGTGGCGGCACAGCCGCCGCGGGGCAAGCGTTGTTCTCGACGGTAATGCCCGCGGAGCTCAACAAGAAGGAGCTGACGAGGGGTGTCCTGAGCGGGAGCCCGCTGCTGCAGGCCGCTACCATGAACCTGATGGCTGGCATCCTCGACCGCTCCAGCCTCGTCGCCGCCGCCGCCGCGGGTTCCTCCCCCTCGCCTCCTGGGGTGGTCGACATGAAACGCCTTCTGCGGCAGCGTATGCCCGATTTGCAAACGCTGCTGGGACTCAGGGACAAGATCGGCGTCGGGGCCGGCGATGCTAGCAAGGCCCCGGGGGGGCAGCACGTCGATCGGGCAGTGGTCCTGAGGTGGCGCGTGCTGTCCCTGCTCGACCGTTACGCCCGGGTGATCCCCTCGTCTGTGGCGGCCGCCCGGTTCGACTTCCTCAAGCTCCTGCCACGACCGGCTCCACGGCCAGAGACACAGCCTGCGTCCGGAGGTGGCAGCAGCAGCAGCAGCAGCAGCAGCGGAGGCAGCGGAGGCAGCCGCAACAGCTTGGCAGACATGCACCCGCTGGTGCGGCTGGCGACGCTGCGGCTTCTCTCGCGCGAGGGCGTTATCGGTGGCGGCAGTGGCGGCGGCGGCGGCGGGCGCGGCGGCTGCGGCCAGTACTCGCCGGGCGGGTCGGCTTCCGGCTGGCTGGCGCCCAGGGCCGCCG